ATACCACTGAGCAGCATTTAGTGATTTGTGGGTTCCTCTTTTTAAACTTCTAACTATCGCCTCCTCATCATGGATTGTTTCTTTGTTTAAGGCCTGGTGACGTGCTCCCTCAGTACCACATCACGTAAGTGAAAGAGGTACAAACAGAAAAGCAGGCAGGTCTTCAGTTAAATAGAACATGGTGGTGCTGGGCTTCCTGGTGCTGAGGACATGGAGGTATGGAAGTGTTGTAGTCACAAGCTGAGAAACTGGGCTTAGCTTTCAGTGAAATGCTGTGAAGCATAGGTGAGGTTAGGAGATCCTCCTGCTTTGTAATTCTGAGTGCTGTTTGTACAGAGAGAAGTAACAGGAGCACTTACCTGTTTGGAGCTATTATTTCAGTCATTTTTCCCCGAGGTGCAGGGGAGGGTTGACACAATGCACGGACAGATCCCCCAAGTCAGCATACCCTTGAAGCACGGACCACTGCTGCACATGTATGTCCGCAGGCAGTTTGTTCCTTACCTGGAAGAAAAGCATGAAGGCAGATTGTGGCAAGAGTGACTTGCCAGTTGGTGTGCCCTTGGCATGCAGTATTCCTTGAGTAACATCCTGTGCCCAGCTTGGGTGGCACACGTCTTCAGCTGGCCCAGCTTTCAAGGTCTGTTCCTTTCTTGGTTTTTTTCTCTTGTCATCCTCTTGCACATGGTTTATTTTGCCTTCTTTCCTATCGTGCTTTTCACAGTGTCCACTTCTGATCTCCTCCCTTCTCGGGAAGTTGTTCACTGCTGCTGTTATTCTAGGTTTTTCTCTTTACAATCTGTCATTCTCCATCTGAGCAACCTGCTGTTCATAGCAGTCCTTCCATCTACTGTTAAAAGCAGCCCCCCCCCCCCAACTTCATACTCCTTACAAGGGAAATATCTCCACTTCCTGTATAATAGCATCTGAGATAGTATCAGTGGGTAATTATCCATCTTGTAAATACCTCAATGTACACCAGAGCAAAAGAAAGGCCATATGCTCTCCAGGAGATACTTCTCAACCATCCAGCAACCTTTTATCAATTTATGCTGCTCCCAGAAAACTGGTTTATTATGCACAATAGCAAAACAAACTTTGAGAGGAGAGATAAAAACATGTTAGGAAGAGGAGTATGACACATTCCTAGTCAGTGTTGCACTAGCACTGCTGTAGACTGCCCTGTAGTTATTCACACAGCATTTATATTTTAAGTCCTCGCTTAAATCTGTATTTGAGCAGTGAACATTGGCAGAAGCAGTGCTGATGATACTTTTTTCATCATGGTAAAATACCTCTTTCTGTAACAGCTGGCATTCTGTAGTTCTGTGGTCTAGGCTGCATAGTCACTCTTAAAATTAATTCAGACTGTGAAATAGAATAGGGAACGCAAGCTAGGGCTTTGCTAAGAATAATTTGTTACGTAATTAGTACAATGGTAAGAATAAATCAAAACCCATATTCTGTCAAGCATGGTAGGCATAGGGATTCTTCTCATGTGTTTCCAACCTACTGGTTTCAACTGCTTGTATCTCAGAATTTTTCAGATTTTTCATTTGTTTGAAAGCAGCTATTTTATTTCCAGAAAGTTTGATGGGGAGCGAGAATTTCTTTTGATCAGACGGCATTTATAATAGCAACAGCACTTCAGAAAATAAAATGCATAGTTCAGAGGCTGTACCGATTTTGGAGAAAGCCCTTGATAAATCAGAGATTTAAAAAAAAATAAAAATTTGGCAAGTCACACTGTATTTTTAGGTGGTAAAAGGCTTCAGAATATGAGGATGTAGAACCCTGTGATCAGAATTGCTTTTAGTGGGAAATCCTTTTGTCTGTCACTGTCCCCTTCAAGGTAAAAGATAATGTTCTCAGTGGAAGCATTTAAAAAGGCAGGCTTCAAAATACTGCATATGAGTCATACATAATTCTTTCAGTTACTGAATAGTAACTTCTGGATATCAGATCTAAAATAGTCATCTTGAAAGGTATGCTGTGATGTTAACCACGTATTGGGGTTAATTTTCTGCTTAATTTTTTTGCCCTTCAGAGCATATACTGACTTGGTTACCTAGTCTAGTGTGGAGAAAACTGAAAAATAATTGTTCAAGACTGAAGAGATAATGGCTTTCAGGTACTTAGCAGTAGTCTGTCATACATCTAAAACTGCCATTTTCATTTTTCTTCAAGCTTTTACTCTACATCTATCAATAACCTGTAGCCCCTTACAACTATTCTCCATTGTATTGGTAAGTTCCTCATTTTATAAATGTAATATCACTTGGGTTTTATTTTGTACTTCAAAACTAAATACATTTTTCTTGAAGGCCTCAGAACTGGTGTTTCCTGTGGAAAAATAGTACTTCTTTCTTTCTGGATTAAATTGAGATAGCAAGCATCTGTCAAGGCTCTTCACAGAATTTTCATTGTTTTGTGGGGGAAGAGTTTAAACAAATAAATGCTTTGAAAATTTGGACTTTATCATTACTTCACTAACTTTGAGAACTGGATTATTCAGATCTGATTATTCACACAGTAACTTGCTATCTTCTTCCCATTACAGAGTATTCTCCATGCAGCAGATCCTAACTGGTGAAGCCAATTTAACAAGGAAAGGAATATGGTTGCACTTTTCTTGTTGACTTTTCATACCCTTGCAAGAATCACTAAAATTTATTTTTTAGAGCTGGTGAGTTCATGGCTGCTAGTAACATTTCAACTTATTTTCTTGGAGGAAGCTGGAATCTTCTGACATCATCACTCTGTGAACCTGGCTTTTTCATTCTCTTGAACTAGCCTAGATGGGAAGACAACAGCAGGTGAAACCGCGTACCAAACAGCGGCACCAACAGCCGAGTAGGTGGCGTGCTGCTGGCAGGGACAGCTCACCTTAAGACTGGTACTCATGCTTTGAGATTCGAGGTTGATGCAAGAGCTGTGCAGAAAGCCAGTGTGTTTACAAGCTTTTGTGCAGCTGTTTGCGGGGTGTTACTGTAAGATGAGGAACCTGATTGTATTCTGAATTCAGGCATGGTGATGTATTATAGGAAAATTGCTCTGTCTAGGGAAGATTAATAGTTGAGCTGCTTCTTTTTGTATGGTCTTGCACAAATTCTCAGCATAGAAATTGAGGATCAACATAGATTTTTTTTTTCACGTGTAACAATTCTTACAATCTTGTGATATTGTCACTATGGATGAAACCTTGGAATGCTGCTTTAGCAATAAAAATAGCAGTACCAAGTCGTTATGGTGTCTGCTTGTCTTCACTTAAATGTTATTATTCATTCTAGAAAGTCAAAACACTGTTGTTAAAATCCTTTCAGTGTCTTTTTCAAGTGTCAGTGTTTGATGGAGACTGTGCTCACTACAACACAATAGAATTAGTAATCTCACTCCACAATTTCTGTATGTTTTCCAAAATAGAGCTTTTTAGGCTAGGGTTTGGGTTTGCAGGGTTTTTTTCCTTTTTTTTTTTTTTTGTTCCCCAATCTTACTGCTCTTGAACTACACTAATTCAATGTTTCCCTCTTAGCATATTAAGAAGTATGTAAAATATTGAGAGCCTTCCTACTAGGCGTAACAGCCAGATCTCATCCATCCCCTGTAAGTTAGCAGATAATTGAAAAGTTAAGTTCTTCCTCTGAAGGATCTATTTTCTGGCCACTCTTACATCCATGTATCTAAGCTATTAAAGAAACAATGCTATGTTAAAACCAACAAATTTTCAGATTACCATAGGAAAGTCATCTAGCTGTCAAGAGAATTAAGGGAAAATATTTGTGCATTGGGCCACCTGAGAGTCCTAAGTCTCTCTTTTTGTGAATTTATGCATAATTACAAGAAAAATTATGTAGCCTTTAATCTTGCACAGAAAAAAATTCAACCCTTGCAGCAACATTTAATTTACAAGGCTTTAACTGCTTGCTATGTTAAAACAATTAAATAGGAAACCCAGAATGGAGATGGAAATGTTAAGATGGCAATACTGAAGTCTCTTTGAATAAAAATTTAGGATTTTGATTAATTGAGCAACTCTTGAAAGCCAAATTTACCATTTCTGTGACAGTCAAACAAATTATGGTTGGTCTCCCACTCTATTAAAAACTAGGCTATACTTAATCTAGATTCCAGTATTCAGTGCTAGTAAACAACATTGATTATGCTCCTTTTAACAAGTTTCAGAAAACAAAAATGGGAATTCTAAAGGCTGTGTCTAGTCCCTGTACACATTACCAATAACCTTGTGAGCCAGTTCTCCAGCTACAATATTCATGTTTTCAGAGCTTTGCTAGTATTTTTTCACATGTTGTTTACTGTCTTCATCTTTTTCTTCTGATCCCTAGTCTTCTGTTGCAGCTTCTTATATTGTACCTTGAGGTCTGTGGCCTTTACCCCTACTGAGTAGACTACAGGAAAAAATAAACAAGAAGGCGTCAGACAAAGATGTTAAGAATAGGAATAACAAAAAGAGGTGTTAGTAAACCTTAAAAGGAAAAAAATATCAGAAGACTCAGTATTTTACTGGGTAGATCAGGATTATTTTTGATAGGTATGTTCCAACTGGGGGGGTAACAGTACAGAGGACTAAATTACAGAACCTTTTTAAGTCCCTTCAAACTTTATTCTGTGTTTCAGTTGAATCCAGCACACCAGCCACAAGACATCGATGACAAATGCTGAACAGCACAGCTCATTTCATGTAGATAGCAGAAATGTTTGGACGCTGTGTGCAGGTGATTGAACCTAATTGTCTGTTTTAACTAAACCCTTTTCCTGGTGTTCTGAAGCAAGATCTCCCCTCTCTACTTAATCCATCCTCAAAATAAACTGTAACTGCTCTTAATTCATTTGCCTTATGTTCATGTACCTTACATGTGAAAGGTGCTATATAAAAATCAACATTATCACTCACGTGATTCCCATAATAAATTACTCCCCTTTGTTTCATGCATTCAGGTGATATAGCGCCACAGAATTATCCAGACTTTCCTCATCAGTAGTGCAGTTTCAGTACTTTATTTTGAAAGTCTCTTAATAGCTAGTTTAAAACAAGTGAACAAATGTAAAGTGTTCTTTATTAAATAACTCAAAAGGTAAAGCAAATTGTGCGATTAAGAAAGACAACAACATGGTTCCAAAGAATTTTTACAGCAGAAAACAAATTGCGGCAAATGAGCGTTTCAGTCTAGCAGCCAAATTGTCCTCATTTTTATGGAGTTAATTACGGTCCTCAAATTGTGACTTGTTTTTTAAAAGATATGCTGCTAGAAATTCAATGGGATTTGGCGGTCTGTAAAGAAAAAAGTAAATCAAAAGCAATTATTTTTTGTTATATGAAATTAGGTAGCTGAAGAACTAATCACCTTCCCTGAAAAGCCACGTTACTCCTCCTAAATGCTTACAAGCATTGATTTGGGGATGACCAACTACCTAGAGTTACCCTGTAAATTTCCAGTTTATGTCTCATGAGTAAGTTTTTAATGAGTCTCTGTCACTGTTGGTTCAATGTTACTAAATTGCTAAAACAGTTACATGCCTAGAACCAGGGTATACTCCGTAAGCATAAATACTGCATGTACATCATTGGAAGTTACATGCATTTGCCTATTTTTTTAACTCATGCAATATAAAGTGAAATTTAATCTGTCAGTGCTTTCTTGCTTCATTTTCCTCAAATGGTCATTCTGTAGCTTCAGTAGTAGAGCTGTTTTCATAGTTTCTGGTAGCTGCTGTTTCTTTTTAAATGAACACACCAAAACCCTCAATGTTGAAGACTGCTGTAATTTGCAAGTAGTCAATAATGCACACTTTTGATTGCTGGCCTTAGCCGGTAAATTTATTTTAAATGCTCCTTCAGCTACAGTGCATGAATGCTGCTAAGCTAGACTCTGCCTGTAGAATAAATGGCATGCTTACTTATTCCACACTGAGTCAGACCAAAGGTCCAGGTAGTGAGCAAGTATGCCTACAAAGAGCGTAAAGAATGGAAGATGTGCGCAGAGATACTTCTCTGGACCATCTTTTTGGCCTCCAAGCACGCACAGTTAACCAGCTTCCTGAGCTAGCACTTTTAAGTCCTGGTGGATCCTCTGCGACTTTGACTAGTTGCTCCTTGAGTCCAAATAAAATGTTATTATCCTCAACCTGATGCAAGTTATATACCTAAATTATGTGACCTATGAAGGATCATCTCCTTTTGTTCATTAAGAATTTTCTACCTCCTAGCTTACTTTGATTACCATATCAGAACAGATAATAATCAATCCATCCCAATGTAGTATCTCCATGTTATTAATGATTTAACAGATTCCTAGTATGTTCTCTCAGAAATCTCTTTTCCACGTTGAAGTATCACCTATTCAGTCACTCCCTATACAGATAGTATTCCATACTTCTGACCACCTTGTCACTCTTCTTACTTCTTCACATTCTACCAGAATAGAGAGGAACTGGAATTGCAATATTCAAAATACAAGAATACTACACATTTAAATAGTGACATTATGCTTGTTTTTACCCCACCAATTTCTAAGTCTTACCATTCAGAATTGATTTTTCATTCAGCAATACACTGACATATACATTTAACAGTTTAAAGGTATTTTTCGTCAACTCTGAATGTATCATCTTGTCACTAGCATTAGGGTATTTATTACTTTCCTAGGTGCATAATTTTCTGTTTATTTGTATTCAATTTTTCCTTTTTTTTCCCCAGAGATTCAATTTTGCATAGCAGTCATCCATAGTTTCACATCAAATTTATGAAGTTCCTGTACAATTATTTACAATTGATTTAAAAAAAAAACCAAACAAAACACAACTCAAACTCAAGAGAAAACAAAAGATAAAAAACCCCAACCTATTCATAAAAACTCAGTATCATGAACACATTTTGTCAGCCACATTTTCAAATAGTTATAAATGATCCTTTCTAGGATTCTGGCGGTGAGCTCATTTCACCATTTACTTCTACTCTCTATCTCATATCTTCCAACCAGTTCCTCGTCCGTATAAAGGCTCTTCCTTTAATCCCACAGCAACTTACTCTTTTAAAAAGCCTTTAGTGAAAGACTGTGCCAGAAGCCTTTTGGAAATTTAAGCGGACTGTATCATCTAGATTTGTGTTTGTGTGTGCTCATTGACTCCGTCAGTGAGCTCCAAGAGACTTACAAATCCTGACAAAAGTTGTGCTGACTCCTCCCAAATACAACATTTATCCATATGCTCACTATCCTGGATGATAATTTCTACTAAATTCCAGACGTAGCCATCAGATATACTGGGCTGTTCCCTGAACATCTCCCTATTCCTTAGAAAAAGAAATTAGCATCCACTAGTTACTTTCCAGCTCAATTTTAAGCAGAAGATTATACAGCAGAACTGGTAGTTCAGCTTTGTCACCCCTGAGGTTTTAATATGCTCAAATGAATAGCCAATTTGACCTTGGCAGTTTGATACTGTTAGTTTTTTTCCTATACGTTCCGCAGCCTCTTCCAATTTCACTCCTGTGATAAGTTCCCATAAAAACCAGCTCCTTCTATAGTGAAGATAGATCTTAAAAAACCAGAAAAGACCAAAGGGGAAAAAAAAAAAAGTGTAACACAAGTAACCAGACTTTAAGTGTGGGATATCCACCTCTGGCTGTGTTTTACAGTCTGCAGCAGAACTCCCGCAGATGTCAACTGAAGATCTGCACGCTGCTCAGGTGTACCTTCCTAGGTGCTCTTTTGCCTAATTAGCTATCTGTACAATACAGTTCTAATTCACAACTCCTTTTGAGGTTAAGGCACTGGTGATGGTTGTTCTGGCTGTAGGTACCGCAACGTGATTATGGTCATCCATACCAGCTTTTCATAATGCTATTTCAGCAAAATTGAGAAATGGTTTACATGCAGTATGACTCACCAATAGTTCGGATACACCAAAAGGCTACAAATTAATTTGTATAAGATGACGAACTGTTTGCTATTATTGAAGAATACCCTGCAACATTGACTGATAAGAGATTCAGGACACCTTCACAGCATAATCTTCACTGAAAGGATAAATTATCAGTTTGCTTCTTACTGCGTTGACAGTACAGGGTCAGCCTCATCCTTTAGAAAGTGTTTTAATCTCCAACAAAGACGAACATCAGGCACAATTTGTCTTTCTTTTAAATGGCAAGCAGAATTCTTTATACCACACTATGAAAATCTTGTTCAAAACTAGAACAACTTCTTGCCTTGCTTCTATAAGGTGAATTACGTGATAAAATTAATTAAAAAATATATTTTTTCCCTCCAAAACCTTTGCAATATCACACCTCATTAGGAGATCACAAATTCAATAAATAACTCCTACCATGCCATATGCACCTAAGTGAGGAACATGTCCTGCACCGTCAATCATAGTAATTCATAGGTTCATAAACCTGTTGTAATGACTTTCTTAGAACTAGCAAACTAGCAAAACCATGTCTGGTGTGCGAGGTCTGAAAAGGTGACATACTACCCAAGTTTGGGAGCTACTTTTGTCCTAAGAACAGAAGGAACATTGAAGCACCTTACCTCTCTTTTGCAAGAACAGCAAGTCCCTGTAGCAAGATAGGTACAACTGTCTGATCCAAGTAGGCACGTGTGGGTAACGACTGAAGATCCACCTTCTGCTTTGATGTTTTCTCTGCATTTATCTTCTCATTTTCTACTATCCTCTGAAGTAGGGGGGGGAAAAAGTGAATGAGCATTGGTAATAGCAGCCATATCTGCTCTGAAGCGTGAGTGCAGACAAAATACCCATTTCTCTGCAATTAACTGGCAATAACTTCTTTACATCTTGTAATAAAATTTAAGCATGTATTTTTCCTTGCAGAAAAATCCAATCCAGAGGACCCTTCTGTTAAATTCTTATGTTTTGGGGAAACGATGTTAGGAAGTCCTAAGTTTTCCAAAACAGAAGACACCCAAACTCTATCATTGTTATTTCTGCTTTTGCATTCACAGTTAAATTCTACACCATTGTGATGGGTATGACTACGAACAAGAGTGGTCCCAATTAAATGGTTCCTGCATGCACTCACTTCTAACACAAAATGCTAAAAGCACTAGAAATTCAAGTGAAGTCTGACACAAGGGACTCTGTTACAAAGTCAAGCACTTTGAGACCTGCTCTAGTAAAGCATAGATGGACACTTTAAAGAAAACATATGAAAAATGCTTCCAGGTGCCTTTTGGTCAAAAAGCGCTGAATCATCTTACACCATTAACTGTAGTTAAAAGAGGATACCCTGCCACTGTCAATTAACCAAATATATTCAACACAACATACACCAATCTACTCATATGGGACCAACGTATCCAACGTGTTCTAGTTCTGTAGTGGAAGTTGAGGCATACAGGCAAGCAGTTATCAGGGAAAGGAGTCTCAAAGGACATTTAAGAAAAGTTTCTGCAAAAGATTTTTATAGAGTGGGAGCTTGTAATGAAGGGAGACTGAAGGCTTTTCTTTAATGAGGAACAATAAACAAATGTCATAGTGTTATTGTTCTAACCCATGTTGTTACCAACAGTGGAGAGAATGGATTGTGTCTATTCCTTCTCAGCATAATTAAAGATAGCTTGGAGTATTCTAATCCAATATTTATATTTACAAGAATATGAAAAGAATCCCTCCCTTTGATACTTTCACAGAAATCCATCTTTCATCAACTCCTCCTACTCCCCTCCCTGTAATAAAAGTCTGGCTGGCTTTTTGTGGCATAATGTATTAATGGATTACAGCATACTTCCAAAAAGACCCATCTCATTAAAAGATTCATTATTTACTTCAGTACTATTTAGTATAGTGGAAGCAACACAACAGAAAATATATTAATTAACAATTATGCAAGGGACTAATATCTGTTGGTTCAGTTTCCATCTAACTTTCTTGGGAACATGACATTTGCTGAAGTTAGACTCAAGACTGGACATTTTTCCCTTTGATCGGGAATGTAACTTCCACTGTACTTTACAGCAACAAAATCTTTGTTACCTCTACATTTTCAGTGAGGCCATATTCAGAATGGGGATTTTCTGGAACCTGTAAAATAACACATGGTCAGCGAAGTGGAAGTGCTCTTTTATGCATGTAGCATGATGCACGTAAAACATTTCTCGCAATACCTGTGGCTGTCCCTCCATAATCTGTTCTGCCTCCATGATTTGAAAAGCGGAATTTCCTGGACGTACAGTAATCTTGGAAAGCAATAAAAAAATTGGTCAGGAGGCTGAGAAGAAGACAAGTGATATTGCATCACTTGGTTACTAAGGCACAATTACTAGAGAGCACAGGGAGCTGCTCTGTGCTCCCCTGCTGCCGAACTTGCACACGTTTTTCCCCGCATACAGAATTGAGAAGCGCCTCAAGGTTCGCGTTACGTCCGCTGAAGAAAACGGCATGGGGATTAGAAAAAACGGCATTCGTCATTTAAACAAGGACCCCCAGCGA